GCTATTGTCCAGATAAGAGGTGTTAGTTATCATCCAGCTCAGTTCAGGTTCTGTCACATGTCCACGGCCTTGGGGAAGGGCGGGGTGAGGAGACAGACAGAGCATCATTGTTTTTCATAACATCCCAGGAGGAATTGAGATAGTCCGCCTTCAAGGCCAGGTCCAGATCCACATTTTGGGTCAGGCAGAACTTGTAAATTGCCATTTCTGCCTTTTAAAATCTCACTAGAACATTTCTCTGATGGTGACTCCAAACAGCCGAATTGATTATTTACGCCGAAAGTCGAGCTTACAGCTTCTCCAAGATTATTACCAACCGTTCATGGATGCTGCCAGAAAGTTCACAGTCCTGATAACAGCCTGCTTCATCTCTGACACAGCTCCACACAATTCAGTCTGAGTGCTGCCAAGCTTCGACACATTCCACACAAATTTGTAGACAATCCAGATTTCACCAACCAAAACAGCAGAATCCAGTTGTCATCATGAATCCAATTTGTTTCCGTCGAAGGGGGCCTTCCATTCACCCTGACTTCCTGTCAGGAGAAGTTGATCAATTTTGTTGAGAGACCAGCTGATCAAATCCATAGAATTAGGAAGGTTTGCAGGAAAAAAAAACCGCAGGCTCTATAAAGTGTTCACAAGGGAAATATAAAGTTATATAATATATAAAGTTGATGGTGAAAGAAAATTTACTGGGATTTAAAAACAATCTGACCAGTATCAGAAACTCAATTTTTTATAAAGTAGGAAAAAAAACGTGGCCTTAAAATGATGCTTTTATTTAGAGAAGGATTGAAAAAAAGATATTTAGAACCAGAAGAGCAATTTCTCAGGCCCACTTTTAAACAGCCCACTCACCTGAAACAAAATGATGGGTGGCTCAAGACTTTTGCACAGTGCAGCTGGATAAAGTGTTGTATCTTCAATCTGAAGCGTGATAGTTTTACTTCTCAGGTCTTGTCTTGAAATGATTTTTAAAATCAATGTAATTATTGATTTGTATTTTTTTCTAAAAGACCTGAAGTTTTCATAACCATAGAACCTTCTGTCTTCTAGGCTTGATGTAAGAAAACAAAGCATTTCAAGTTAAAAAGTTTAATTTTAAGGGAAATATTAACAAAGATCTGCAGTCTGAAGAATCAGTGAAGACAAACCACTACCCAGACCAGAAGCAACATAAAAAGATCTTTATTGTCATGTAAAATGATCAAACCTGAAAATATTCAGGCTGTTTAGAGCTTTTACTTTGTGTATTTGCAGAATGGTCGACGTGGACACAAAATCTGATGCAACAAGTTTTTGTTTTTAAAAAAGATAACCCTTTAAAAGTACTTCACAAAATCCAACATTTTTCAGTCAGGTCATCCGCACAGTTTCTTTTTTTGTGCTGAAACGTTTCGCCTTCGATCCAGAAGGCTTCATCAGTCAAGGAAACACACAACAAAACTGATTCTTCCCCCAACAGCTTACTCCAAAGTGGAACAAACCAGTTATGTTGGTGATAAGATGGTGTCTTTGGTACGGCCCCATCTCCATTGCTGGCCCTCTTCCTTGTTGACAGTCGTGTCAAACTGGTTGAAAACAACAAAGTCCATGCTCAATAATCCATATAAAATAATACATTTTTCAGCACCAAAAAAGAAACTGTCCAGATGACCTGACTGAAAAATGTTGGATTGTATACCTGGATTATTGAGCATGGACTTTGTTACTTCACAAAATGTCACTAAAAGCTAGAGACTAAGTCTAAATCTGAAGGTTTTCGTCTCTCGGACTGAAGAGTTTTGAAGAGTTTTACTTCAGGTTTTAAGTGAAGTTCAAAGTGTTGCTCCGTAGTAGAAATAGTAAAACCCTTAAAGGTTGCTCTGCACTAAAAACCTTTTTTTAATGCCGAAGAATGCTTTGTTGTACAAAATAAACAATCAGTTTTTGTTTTTATCATAAAACTGTGTACTGCGTGGCTATTTTTTACACTATTCTCATAAAAAGTTAGAGAAAAACAGTAAAAAGGGATTTCATATAATGTTTATTTGACCTTTTATTTTTGTCTTTCTTTAACTTTCTCCTTAGTCACTCAGACAGATGCTTGCCAAAATGATAAAACTTAAAAAAAGGCCAAACGTGATGATTTTTTTTTAATAATTTGAAGTTTAATGGTTTTATTGTTTTCATTTAGAAATCAGCTACAAGGACAGCTGCACTAAACTGCAGCTTTGGTTTCTATTGACAACAAAATGCTGTTTAAACAGATTTGTGAGTCATTTAGTGAGCACGTTATTGCACTTTTTAGCTTTTAGCTAGCATTTTGCTATTTTAGTTTCTAGCAAACATTTTACAGTTTTTAGCTAAGCTTTTTCTGCAGTTAAAAAGCATTTTTCTGCTTTTAGTTGATCTTTTGCTACTTCTAATTTCTACCTATCCTTTTGCTACTTTACTTTTAGCTAGTATTTTGCTGTTTTTAGCTTTCCTTGTTGTCTTGCTTCTGCCAAACCTTTTGCTACTTTAGGTTCAAAGTGACTTTATTGTCATTCGCATCAGAGTCAGAGTCAGAGTTTCTTTATTGTCATTCGCACCTCATGTGGTACATGTGGTGGAGCGAAATTATGTACACAGGGTCCCAGTTACATCCAACAATAAAATGTATAAGAAAAACAGTAATAACATCTAAGATATGAACTAAGAAAAACATCAACTAAATATACACTAAGCACTCATAACATAAAACATTGAACATCAGCACAAACATGAACATGAGTCTGTGAGCAGATGTGCACGCATGAACACATCAACATTGAAACAGATCAGCAGCAACATGAAACAGATCAGCAGCAACATGATATGGTTTTTCACAGTGATTATTCTAGTTAGAGATTCATGAGTCTAACAGCCTCAGGGTAGAAGCTGTTCCTCAGTCTAGTGGTTCTACACTTAATGCTCCTTAACCTCCTTCCTGAGGGGAGTGGGGCAAAAAGTGTGTGTGCTGGGTGGGTGGGGTCCTTCATGATGCAGGTGGCCCTCTTCCTGCATCTGGAGGTGTAGATGTCTGTGATGGTGGGGAGACTGACTCCAACATCTTCTGTGCAGCCTTCACCACTCTCTGCAAAGCTTTTCTTTCTGCAGCTG